TATTCGCGAGAAATGGGACGCGGTCAAAAAAGCGAAAGTATGTTTCCAGTGTTTGTCACCTAACCATAGGAGGTTAGAGTGCAAAGCGAAAAAATGTGGTGTAGAGGGATGTAGAATGTCACATCATCGGATGCTACACCGATACCCCAATGAAAATACCTCGCCACAAGGGGACGAGGGGGGTAAAGAGGCTCAGATTACAACTGTTAGTACAGTGAATGTACTGGCATGTGCATACTTAAAGATTATACCGGTCGAGTTGTATGGACCTAGAGGAAAGGTCAAGACAACAGCTCTTCTGGATGAGGGATCAACCATGACACTCATAGAGGAGTGGATAGCTCAGAAGTTAGCGCCTCGCGGACGTAAAGAGGAATTACGTATCGAAGCCGTGGGAGGTAAGCGAATTAACGACGACAGTTCGTATCGTATAAACGTTAAGATAAAAGGCATTTACTCAAATGACTTAGAAGAGATAAGTGTACAAACAATTAAGTCACTTAACCTTTCTCCTCAGTCAGTAAGCCGAGAATTATTGCAACGGTGTTCTCATTTGACACCGATTAAGGACGAGTTGATGTATGAGAGGTCCAGACCTACCATATTAATTGGCCAGGACAATTGGCATCTCATAGTTACTCGTGAATTAATTTCAGGAGGTAAGAACCTACCTGTAGCATCGCTCACCAAACTTGGATGGGTTTTACATGGTCACATATCGGGTGGTATTAAACCAATCAAGATTGTTAACCACATTTCCACCAAGAAGGAGGAAGATATGGATAAGTTAATCAAGGATTATTTTAGTTTGGAATCTCTGGGAGTGTCTGCGCGAAAGCCAGCGAACGACCCAGAAGAACGAGCTTTAAATATTTTGAGCAAAACGGTACGTCGTATACCTAATAATAGGTACGAGACTGCTTTGTTATGGCGCACAGACAATGAGTGCATGCCATCGAATAGAGCGAAGGTTGAAAATCGTCTGCTTAATATCGAAAAGAAGCTCGACAAAAATAGCGAGTTGAAAAAGAAATATGAGAAGCAAATTGAAAATCTCATCGTTAAAGGCGTAAATGCGCTGAGAAAGCAAGAACCGTTAAGTCTACCCGACTACGGACGATTTAGCAGCTTTAAGAAATTCCTTGGGGCAACTATACGCACCTTACAAGCGGTAGAAAAATTCAAGAGTTTAAGAAAGTCGGTTAAAGGACCCGACAGCGCAGCCGAAAAGTCGGTTATGTATTCCAACAAAGTTTTAGCAAAGTCGGTTAAAGGACCCGATGGCGCGTTGGACATAGCGCTCTTGAAAAAAGCGGAATTGTTAATATGGAAGTTCGGTCACGACGAGTGTTTTCATTCGGAAATAAAATGCTTGAAAGCAGGCAAAAGCGTTGAAAGAAGTTCACGCTTAAGTAAATTATCTATGGAAATAGGGGAAGATAACTTACTCCGTTTAAATGGACGTTTACCTTTCAAGTCTAATTTGACCGAGGAAAGTAGAAAACCTGTCATATTGGACGGTAAACACGAAATCGTTAAAATGATGATTAGAGAAGTTCATCATCATTTTGGACATGCCAATCACCAGACGGTGATGAATGAGGTGAACCAGAAATTTTATGTCTTGAACTTACGTAATGTAGTACGTAGTGTGTCACACCATTGTCAGTGGTGCAGGGCATACAGGTCAAAACCGCAGAACGTGCCACAAGGATATATTCCTCTGGAGAGAATAGCTCATCATGAACCACCTTTTACATGTTCAGCCGTGGATTATTTCGGACCTATGAGTGTGACTATAGGAAGGCGACACGAAAAACGTTGGGGTGTTTTATTCACGTGTCTGACCACCAGAGCAGTACATCTGGAATTAGCAGCCTCATTGACACCAGCGTCAATGATAATGGCATTGAGGCGATATATCGCCAGAAGAGGAAAACCAGCCGTTATATACAGTGATAACGGGACGAATTTCAAAGTTGCGAATAAAGAATTATTGAAAGCATGCGAAGAATGCTATGAGGGCATGAAAAATGAGTCATTTAAGAAATATATTAAATGGAAATTTATACCTCCGGGAGCACCGCACATGGGTGGCGCCTGGGAAAGGTTAGTAAGATCGATTAAAATTGCGTTGACCGCTACGCTCAAAGAAAGGAGCCAACGACAGGAGGTTCTACATACGCTGCTTTTAGAAGCAGAGCATACGGTAAATTCCAGGCCTCTGGTAACGTTCAGTATGGATAGTCCTGAAGAGGGTTTGACACCCAATCATTTTCTTCTGGGACGCTCATGTGGTGATCGACCACCTGGATTATTTTTAGAGCAACATCTGACGGGTCAACTCAATTGGAAAGCTGCACAGAGGTTAGCCGACCATTTTTGGACAAGATGGTTGAAAGAATACATGCCTACTTTAATACCTCGAACAGGTAATAACGGAAAGTTCATGGAACCTAAAGAAGGTGATATTGTTTTGATAATAGATCATTCGTTGCCACGAAATACGTGGCCGAAAGGCAAAATTAGTAAAACGCTACCGGGACCAGACGGTCACACCAGAGTGGTTGACGTCATTACTAGCACAGGTATCTTGAGGAGACCTACATCCAGAATAATAGTCCTGGTAACCGCGACGCCTCCCAAATAATGGTGCTTACGCACGGAGGGGAGATTGTTGGCGACGCGCCTATAAGAATATTTCAGTTTATTAAGTCAACCGATGACGAATAACGTCTCAAAGGCATATTGTCCAATAGCAAGGTTCTGATAAGAAAATGCTTAGTTAAATCTTAAAGAAATATCGAATTAATGATATGAAGGTCTTGGGTTCGACTCCCAGGCCGGACTAGTTTATTTGTTTTCCTAAGTAATATCGCTTAATAAATTCATAGGGAATTTAAGATATAAATTATGCTACCGGATTTGTTCCCCGGTTGAAATCATCTTTCCAATGATGTAAATTCAAAGAAATATTAAAGTAAAGTTAAAGATCGGATTTGTTCCCCGGTCGAGATGATCACTCTGTGCATAAACAGAATTAACGGAAATTAATTGCATAAGTATTGTTTTATATGAGTTTGATATGTTTTGTACGAAAGCAAATGCCTATTTGTTATGATTGATTTATGAAAACATTCACTTATATTGTTTGATAGGAAACGTGATAGCTGATAGGAATCTGATTAGAGATAGTTTCCTACAGTTCGAATATTGTGTAAAAGCATTTAATTTACCTAATATTGTTAAAATTAGTGTATATCAGACTTCCATTTTTTCTGATAGCCGAGAGCCGTGCAAAAGTTAGTTGTTTAAATAGTGTGAGTTCATAGACGCACGCTAAGCCACGCCCTTAGGAGGCCGAATATGTAGAAATTTAAAATGTTTGTAATTTCAGCAATTTATGTAAAAATGACTTGTTAAACATTTCAGGTTGATTGTACGTGCTAAAAAGGTGAATTCTGTGTTATTTTTATGTGAAAATTCCTGTGTATAAGTGAAATAACGATAGTTTTGTATAAGAAATTTAAAAGTGTTTTAAATAGTGAAATAAATAGAGAAAATGTAAATTAAACTATTGTATTAGTTAACTTATGTATAAATTCAAGTGGGAAACATTGTTTTAACTTTCTGTGTTAAATATTTAAGAAATTTTGACTTTGCACTTGTGATTAAAATAGGCATATTTCATTTAATAAATAAAAGGTTTTTCGTGATATGAAAATGTAATGTATATCGTAGTGTAGATATTGTTTTGTGCTATCTATACAGATAAATTGTATTGATGTAAGACTTATGGAAATAAAGAAATTAAGTAAAACGTGAGAGAGTAATAGAACAAATTCATGTAATTGAGTTGCGCAAGCGCGCGAATGGCGCGGCTCACTTTCGCGTATAGCTCTGGGGTAGCTTAGTAAATGAGTTTTATTGCAATTCGTTCGGGGAAGTTCGGGAATCCTTCGGGAAATATTCGGGAAAAAAGTTCGAGAAAAGTGAAAAACCAGCAGTCAATAAGAAGAAGAAATAAAAAGTGTAGGGAAGTGATAGGGAAAAGTGATTACTCTCTCACGGAACGGTTTGAAGATAATTGCTGTTTTATTCCCAAGAAATTCATCCCTTAAGTTATACAGTCCACATCGAAGAATTAAGGCGTTGGGACCGGGACGACTTCGGAAGACCCGTAATCCCCGTCTGAACCTACTTGCTGAAAAGGAAGAGGTTATCGCCCTTGTGTGTTACTCCGTTGCGGAGATCACATACGTTGTTTCCGAACCCAACGTAGGCGTTACAGGAGGCCGGATCGAGAGAAGCCTCGATTCCTCCCTTCTGTTTCTTAATCCCCCTGCGTTTCCTTTTCAAAACTATTTTGCACTGCTCTGGTTTCAAACTTTTAGTTGTTTTATTTAATTTTTTGTCCAATCAGTTCTAAAATTGGTTAATGATTTGTGATAATATCACTTTTGATTGCAATCATATATATCAACTAGTTCCATACTTCAACCACTTTTGGTAATTTTGTGACCCGGCTTTAGTCAATTTGAAGTGATGCTCAGGGGGGGTACACTTCCATACTTTAGGTTGGGGTTCAATAATTTGCAAAGACACTATTGCCATCTTGTACTATATCCGCATAAACTTTCGAACTTTAAATTCTAAAAGGTGCGCTAGATGGCGACTACACCAATTCTGGTCATTCTCGAACTGGCAAGTAGTAACTTTATATTATTATGACATTGGGTCCGATTGCATTTCTCTTCGAACCTAAATAATGACAGACTAAAATTTTACTAAATATGTCCATGTCCTTAACCTAAAACTATTACGTTTCTGTTAAAATAAGTTCACGTCACTAATTTGAACTTAATGCTACGTCTATGGAATTGGACATAATTACGTTCGTTTGCCGCCGCAAATGGCAACACCACACCACTATTCTGTCAAGTCTGTCGTGGTTATTTTTTGTGTGAGTTTTCGCAAGAATTATTAAAATTTTAATAAATATGGATACAAAGAAGCCAAGAATGAAGAAAGAACAGCAACAATATTTATTAAACTTCTTGATGAGGAATTCGGAAACGGTTAACAGTATGTTTACAAAATATTTCATGTGAATTTTTGTTTTAGTAGTGTAAATTTTTATATTTTAATCTATCGATTTACCCTACTCATCCATCCATCTATTTGCAGAATAGCAAGTTCATTTTAAATTTGATCATAATCATATATTGCACTCTAACTTATCCTATCTACAAGCATTCCTGTGTAAATTCTAGCTCTATATTAGATTTACTTATTTTTTCTTGATTGCATCAATCATCACAATTGTGTTAATTTTGAAAACTACATACATTACATAGCATTAATATTATAAAGATATCCTTTTATAATATGAACGGAAAACCTTGATCCTTGACTTGTAAATTTCTTACAGGGTATTATTATTGTCCCAGGGACTCCACAGCCCATTGTTGATGTTCTGGATCCTCATGTTAAACAAAACATAGTCATGGTGAGTGTGTTATGGCAATGCTTGTAGCAGTCGTGATATTTATTACCAGTAATGGTCTGATGTTAAGTTGATTTTATTTTGACTACAGGTTTTGGATGATACTCAACTGCCAAAGCCCAAGCAGACGTTGATTTTAGACGCAGTAACAGTTGTTTTTTTTTTTGTGTTGTTGTGTTGTGAGTATATTTTACCTATTCACAACATTATTATATACATATAAATAAGATTTGTTAGTTTTATAAATAAGTTTAAACAGTGCCCTTATTATGACTTGAGTTCTACTGATTAGATTTTGATGTAGTTTTCATTAAGCGTTATGGTCAATTTTGGTAATTATAGAATAACCGCATTATTAATGGTATGAGTAATAAAAACTGAAGTCATGTTAAAAAGAGTTTTATGCAAGTCATGTTAAAAAGAGTATTCTGAAATTGACTTCATAGTGGTACAATTGTATGAATTTATCCTTGTAATTGTACTATGCAGGATATACATTCAGACACTGAAGAAGAGCCCCCGAAGGAAGCGGCTATGGTGGACGCGTTGACACCGACGGCGAGTCACGATGGGGCGACTGTCGTCACTTCAATGGCGACGGACGCGTCATCAATACCGACAGCATCTCGTGTTGGTCGAATTGCGGTAGACGCGTTGATGATGCCAGCGGCAAATAGGGATCTGGCGACGATCGGTTGCAGTCGTGAACGTGAACAGAACGTGAACGCGTCGAGCAACGCCCCGTACGCTCGTGCCGCCAGCCGATTCAGCCACCCCGCAAGAAGATGCCATGATAGCGGCTTTAAGGGAGGGAGCCCAAGCGCAGATGGCGCTCGCCAATGCGCAAACAGAGGCCGCTTGGTATCTTGGCGATTGCATAATGCGTGCCGCTACCATGTTCGTCGAAGCGATCAATAAAAATAAATAAACTATTTTTTCGAAATTAAGTTTTATTAATTCTTTAATTTAAATCTTTAATTAAAACACATCATGCAAACTATTATCTTGTGATGTTATTTCGAATATTTCTAATAATTAAATAATAAAAAAATAAATATTATAATAAAATAAATATTTAAAAAATTCATATCCCCGGGAGGATCATCTGCTGGCCGCAATCTGTCTTCGAGTTCCAATTCATCTGGTAAAGGTTCATTTCTCTTAATTGCCACGTTATGGAGAACAACTAGAGCTGCTATTATTTTAGATGCCTTCACGGGGTCATAATGCAACGTCCTGTGCTTGAGAATGCATCTAAATCTTGTTTTCATCACTCCAAAACATTTTTCAATAAGGACCCTCGTTTCGGTATGCGCTAAATTATATCTAGCCTCAGGTGTATTTTCATCCGCATCAGCATACGGGGTCATCAGCCAAGGCAGTTGGGCATATGCAGAGTCTCCTAGAAGCAATTCACCAGCTGAAACTCCGTTAACCTTTCAACTGCGGAGACTCTAACCGTCATACTCCGTTGACTGCGGAGCTGTTTAATAAAATTGACGGCGCATTGGGCGCAATCCGTTTAAACACAAATTTCTTGATTTTAGTATATCAAATACATAATCAAATATACAATATATGTATACATTTCTGAATTCTCTATGAAATTTCCTATAAACGAGTACATAAATTAAATAAACTTTCAGAGTAATAAGTGTAGGTAAGTAAATATTGAATAAAGACAAAATTGTCATATTTCTCGATGAAACAAAGTTTTTTAATACTTCGATTTTATTTTTCATTTAATTTTAAATCTATTGTTTACAATATTTTATGCGCAAAATCATAGGCTACAATACAATTTTTTATCATAAAACGCATAAATAGTAAGCTTACAAGAACCAACAATCAACTTACACCGATGAAGAATGTTGTTCGGACCAGATGCTGCATTAACAATTAAACTGCCGTCGGTCACGTTTTAAATGCAATACTCCGTACAAAGTGACTGACACGGCAGTCAAAGGTTTAATGCATTAGTCAAAAAAATTAACACTAGTTCTTTTATTTCATTAAAAATATATACTTAAATTCATGAAGAAACATTTGGTTTTATTTCCAGGACTAGTTGAACCTCTCTTTTTCCTTACATGATTCAGTCATCTTTAAATCGATCTTGCAAAGTTTTACAAATCTCATAAAGTTATGAAATAAGTATTCTTAGTGCCGATATCAAAATTTTTGCCGTAAGTGCCATATTTATTGAAAAATTAATTACTTTATTTGAGCAAACAATTTTCAACAGCACTTGTAGAGAAATAAAGATTCATTCATTCCTTTAAAAGCCATAAAACCACTCAAGGGTCACTCCCGTGGATGTAGAGTCTAAAATAACGTTTTTTGTAAACAATACTCGATGCGCCATAATAGTGTCGATTGACAAAGGCAAAGCCCTTCAGAGGCGCCGCGGGGTGCGCGGCGATTATATTACATTTCCAATAACCAACGTAATTTTCATTCCGACTGTGGCACACAGAACACTATTACTCCTATCGGAGAAGAACGACAACTTCATACAAAATTTCAGAAATGATATATATAACCACTAGCGCCATCTATCGTCAGCCTCCTGCACTTCTCGTGTGGCGGGAAAATTTGAATGTGGTCTTTTTTATTTTTTTTTATTTGAGGTATTTTTGGGTTTCCTATCCCAGCGCTAAATAAAAGAACAAAAATTACAAAATTTCTATTTATTTATTCAAAATAAAAATATAAATTGAAATAAAAAACATACATAACTTAAGAAACAATTTCTCCAGCAGCTTAGTTCTTTCTATAAAGACATTTGATGGGTTTAAACATGAAAAGAAAATCAATAATGATTACATTTCAATTACTTAAGTAAACAATGATAAAGAATTGAAATAAGATTTACTACAATAATGGATGAATTGATAATATGCAAAATTATTGTCTACAATAACCAAAATATCAATATTTTAATCTAAAACAAGTTAATTAATAAATAAGCTCCTACACACAAGTGCAAAGTGCAACATTCACAAATAATAATTGTGTTTTGATAATATTTGGTTGTCTATCTATTTCCCTGAATTGACACTAAAAATTTTGTCTCTATATTATATGCAATATATTAAGTATTGAATGCAGCTTATAAATAGAATAATTTTAATTCAAAATTATAAAACATATTAAATATTAGATTACAAAAATATTCCTTATTTCATTTTAAAAAATTTCATATAGAGATACATACTTTCTTTTTCAGGTTCAACAGTATGTGTTATGCTTTGATGTTTGTGGTTGTTCTTCAGTGGATATAATGTTGTCCTTTTTGAAGATCCTGCTTGTGGTTTTGCAGCAATAATTTGCGAGGGACCAGCTTGTGATTCCACAAAATAAAATGGGAATACACTTTGTTAGTCTGGAAATAAATAAAAACTGAAATAAATTATAGTAATGATTTCTTATATTTACGCGAACACTATACATGATTAAAACTACTTTTATGGATTTTATCGCGTTTATTTTTACTTTTTATTTACTTTTATTTTTAATATTATTAAAAATAAAAGTAAATATATATATATATATATATATATATATATATATAAATTATAGTATCATAAAATTATTATATAAAATTAAATTAACATTATATTCATTGACATTACTTTCATAGTAAACCAGTCCCTACTCATGGCACTACATTACCCTTCTACCAATACAAAATAAATGAATGGATCTTGTTCATCCAACTTGCTCTATAATACACCCACTATTACAATTAATATAACAAAATAAGATACTAAATACAATAACTATGTGAAAAGAAATCTTGTGTTTATCTATTGTTTGAGAACCATTTGATGCATGTATTTCTACTGCGTTGTACAAGTTGTGCCTTTAAATTTGATAGGTTTAGGACCAAATGTAATTATTCATATATTGTGATGCCGGAACTTTCTTAAGGTTTGTTGTTGATTTAAAATAAAATTTGATTGTTGAAAATAATATGCAGTGTGTTGCACTTTTAATAATGTAAGGAAAGGCTTGTGCTAACTTTATAGACTTCAATCCTTTGGATGCTTTGTCCGACCCAATTATTATAAATTAGTTGAAAGAATGAACAGGATTCAAACTACTGTATGTGGTCTGTCCATCCATGTTAGATCCAGATGATGGGCATATGAATAATCATCATCTTCTTTACAGTCTATCAAAGTCCACTCCTGAATATAGTAATCCCCATATAAAATATCTGAGTAATCCTTAAAGAAAACTATATACATACCATATTACCATATACATTATACACTTTACTTACATCACATGGGACTGCAGTGCTTACTTAAGAGCTTTTTCTTGGTTGCATCATTAAATTAACCATCATGAAAATGTTTTTCACACAGCATTCTGGGCTTATTATGTAGCTTTGGAAAGCTAAAGTAGTATACTACTCTTGGGAAGGAATATAATATTTCGCCCATAATTTACAACTGAAAACAAAAGATAATTATTAAATACAAATATTATCAAAGTAGGTTAAAAACAAATTAATGGTTTACAAACCAATAATTTGTTTTTAAATGGTAAAAGAGAAACAATAAGTTGGACAAGAGATTTACTTTAAGGTTAGAACTTATTAAATGGTGTATATGTATATCGTATACGTACCGCAAAATATACTTTACTGCGAATTTCGGAAACCTAAATAATTTAACGTTGTCAACGGTTGGTATGCTGTTGCACTTAGAACACTTTTTCTATTTTCTTTATCCGTCATTGCAGCGTAGTTTTTAAGAGTCACTATTTCGTATTTAACTACGATTCATTGACTAACACATTGCACATCATATAAATGAAGGACATTAATCTCAACTCAACATCGTAAACTTGCAAAATCTTAGTAAAAGACACAAGCAAAACAAACATAACAACCAATCATGAACAACAATAATTTATACGGCGACGCCATATTATGAGAAAAGAGAAATATATACTCATTTAGGTATTTGGTGTTACCAGTAAAAAATATAATTTTCTACTCATTGAAAATCAAAACAAAAAGAAAACATTTATTTTTCTTTTACTGTCAAGGATATGCTAATATAATAATGTAGAAAAATACGACAGGCATAGTTATCTTCCTATTGATTATTATTTCTGTATTCAAAATTTTTGAGTGTAATTTATCTTTAGCAAAATCTTACTAATTATGAAACAAGACATTTATCTGACAAATGGCAATAATAAAATTCAGCCCCCGTAGGTATTTCATTCTGTCCATACAGAGTTGACCGGGCCTGCTGTGGCATCGCTTCCGAGCGGTAGCATCCAAGTAGTCCGCGCTTTCGTTCCTGTACGGTAGTGCTCTCCCGCTCTCGCGCCCCCGCTGTCCCGCTCTCGCGCCCCCGCTGTCCCGCTCGCGCTGTACAGCGCCGACGCAGTGCTCAGTCCGCCGGCGGCATCGTTCTCGGACGGTCGCCTCCAGGTGGTCCGCGCTCCCGTACAGTACGGTAGTGCTGTCTCACTCTCACGCGCCTCCGCTGTCCTGCTCACGCGGAACAGCGTCGAGGCTGCCGGTGAGTTACTTTCTCGCTACAGTTCTTGCCCCCCTGTCTTCGGGCAGGGAGGTCTGACTGACTTCCGCTTTTCATTTTCACATTTTTTTTTGTTCTTGTATTACTATTACGTGCATAGTGTGTCGTAGTACGTCTCGCGTTCTAGTCCCTGTTCTACAGAGAACAGGGACCCGTCCTCATCTTTATCGTTACATAGCTTAGCTTGCTTACTGACCCAAAATGGCCACACCCAGCTTCACTGAGTCCCTCGCCGCCCTCATTAACCAATTCGGATTAAATGGCAATGAGACGGTCCTCGCCGCCATCGCCACCATCGAGGCCGCCCAGGCTACCCTCCCAGTCCCTCAGGCACACCACCCGCCGCCGGTAATC